TCAGACCCCTCCAGGTTCTCCCTGGAGCAGGAGCAGGACCTCCTCCAGGTTCTCCCTGGAGCAGGACCTCCTCCAGGTTCTCCCTGGAGCAGGACCTCCTCCAGGTTCTCCACCCATAAAAACCACCTCTCTCGTTCCTAACACACTCCAGCCTGAAGGTGGCAGTGTTGCACCTGAAGTTTACGTGTCAGCTACAGGGTGGATGAAGACTGATGCTAACGTTAGCTAGCATACAGACGCCACCTTTGGTTCACAGCAGTATTGCAGCCTGAAGAGTGTGAAGGTTCAACTGCAGCAGGAAGTGAACTGAGGACACAGAGACGGGGGGCGGGGGGGACGGGGGGGGGAGTGGTAGAGAGAGGTTGGTTTGGTGCAGGATGACCTAGTTAGACTCTCTCTCTCTTTAATAAAATATCAGGGCTCTGATGGTCCACTGGTCCATGGTCCACTGGTCCACTGGTCCACTGGTCCACGGTCCACTGGTCCAGTGGTCCACAGTCCACTGGTCCACGGTCCACTGGTCCACGGTCCACTGGTCCAGTGGTCCACAGTCCACTGGTCCACGGTCCACTGGTCCAGTGGTCCACAGTCCACTGGTCCACGGTCCACTGGTCCACGGGCCACTGGTCCACTGGTCCACTGGTCCATTGGTCCACTGGTCCATGGTCTACTGGTCCATGGTCCACTGGTCCATGGGCCCCTGGTCCACTGGTCCATGGTCCACTGGTCCATGGGCCCCTGGTCCACTGGTCCATGGTCCACTGGTCCATGGGCCCCTGGTCCACTGGTCCATGGTCCACTGGTCCATGGTCTGGATTCTTTGGTTCTTGTCCCTGGATTCACCTGGAACTGAACATGACAGCAGAGGTCAACGACCTTTCCTGGTCCCACTGGTGTATCTGAACAAATCTAAAGGTCATCAAGGTCACACTGACCCTGACAGTGTGACCTTTTTCTAAAATGACCTGTATTTTGACAGGACTTTTCACCTGGACCTACAGGTGTCGCCAGACTCCTGGTGTGGACCTGAGGACAAACAGAACAACGTCTCGTCACTGCCTTTTTGAACTGATGAGCCAGTGTTAAGATGGAGGACAACGGCGCCCCCTGGTGGAGCACATGGTAGAAATGTTCAATAGCGACGTGGATGTCGGAGGTGCGGTCTGGACCACAGGAAGGTGACCTTCGACCTCAGACCACTGCAGTGCAGAGACTTCACTGTCATGATGGAGGTGAAGTGAGGAAGAGGAGGCGCGCACACACACACACACACAAACACACACACACACTCCTCCTCTCCGTCCATAGGTGGCAGTGTGGAGGTGTGCGGCGCTGCAGCCTCCAGCCTCCACTGGGCTCAGTGGGAGAAAGTCAATTACAGCAGGGCTGAGCCTGGCCTGCGGGGGGCGTACGACTGGGAGATAAGAAGGCAGCGATGGCTGCCGTGGAGCGCTCCCTGGACTGCGTGCACGGGCCTCGAGCGCTGCACTTTGCCCCCGTGTTTCTTCCAGACGCAGAGGCAGAGAGCTGCTGCTGCTGCAGAGGA